CTGTGCCTCCCAGGGACCGCGACAATGGCGCAGTTCGCAGCCCCCTACCACACGAAAGTGGCGACAGCTGCACAGGTCGCACTCCCCAAGGTAGCCGCGAGGCCTCACATGATCCGCGCTGTCCTCACCTCCGCCGTGCCTCCCAGGAGCCCACGAAAGTGGCGACAGTTGCGCAGTTCGCATCCACCCACCAGGAAAGGTACAGATGCAGGAGGAGGAGGAGGTAGAAGGCGAGGAGGAGAAGAGAGGAGGAGGAGGAGGAGGAGGAGGAGGAGGAGGAGGAGGAGGAGGAGGAGGAGGAGGAGGAAGAGGAGAAGGAGAAGGACCAGTGCAAACCCAAGACTCATCAACGATGTTGGAATAAACCATCCCTCCACGCTCCCTCTTCATAGGCCTCATTCAAGGGCCCATTTCCTCTGAAGGAACTTCCTCGTTGAGAGACAACCTTTCGAAGATCCTGAAGCGTACCAAAACATCATTCTCGGGACCCCAACGCCACGAAACAACCTGACGGTTGCTTATTGACGACCCTGATTCGTGACAGAACACCATTCCTGGGACAACACCGCGAATCAACGTAAATGTTGCGCCCTCACAATCCTGAGTCCCTCCACAACATTATTTCTGGTACATTGACCACGGGAAACCGCGAAACTCTAGCACGTGCTTAAAACGAATATGCGCGGCGCTAAATCAAGAACCACATTTTGAAAAGGAGCCGCCCTCCATCCGTGAAGCCTTTGCAAATGTTCAAGACGAGTGCGCGCGGCGCTAACACGAAAACCATGTTTTGAAAACGACCCGCCCTGAATCCGTGAAGCTCTGGCAAATGTGAAAAAGCTAAAGCGAATGCCATCTGTTCAAAACCACCCGCCCTCAATCCGACAAGTTCCTGCAAATTCATAAGATGAATGTGCGCGGCGCTAAAGCGAGAACCACATGTTAAAAACGACCCGCCCTCAATATGCGAAGCTCCTGCAAATTATTTGAACGAATGTGCGCGGCGCTCAGGCGAGAGCCACATTTGAAAACCACACGCCTTGCATCTATGAAACTGCCAACTTTTAAGCTCCAGGGTCATAAACGTTGAGGACCTCCCGCCCTTTCGACTGGCCTCGGGGTGCGACAGGGAGGAGTCGTTTAGAAGGAGAAGGAATAAAGAACGGAGACCAGAGTGTTCTATTTAAAGCCTCGCCACCGCTCGAACGTCCATTTCCCGTGGAATTGTCGACTTCGTGCGTGAATTTTTGTGCAAGATGCTCCAAGATGCTCCTCGATGGCCCTCGCCGAGAAAAATTCAAATGTCCGAGCGATGCCAAGAAACGAGAACCCAATCAAGGGAGGGTTGTGAACTACATGCGTACAACATTTCGGAAGTTGGCGCCCGACCCACGAACTCCGCGCGGACCCACGAAAAATGCATGCTTTTTGAAGCCTCCTGGATGAGGTCCGAGCAGATGGGGTCGGAGGAACGCGCCGCATCGCCGATGTACCGGCGATGCATCGGCGACGTCGGCGATGCATCGGCGCCCTCGGAGTAGAGAAAGTCGAGCGCCACATCGAGCCGCACCGCCGATGCATCGGCGACGCGGCGTGATCCTCCGACCACATCTACTCAGACCCCGTCTTGGAGGCCAGGAGTCAATGCTTCAATCTCTCTGTTTTTCCGAGAACAGCCACTCCATCGGGCGCGGCCAGACCGACCCCGCCCTGACCACCAACCCCCCCGCCGGCCCACGCCCTGGAACGAGGCGAGGGGGACGTCACGGAACGGAGGCGGTCTGCCACGGGGCAAGATCACACCAGCATCGAGTCGGAAGGTGGATCGAGTCGGAACCTGGCTGATGTGCTAGGTCGGTTTGGCGATAGGACGGGGTACATTCGGGGTGTTGACCTAAGGAACCCTACATAAGGAACGATGCCCCTGTTTTCGTTAAGTTTAACTTCGTTTTCCGATCGAAAACCGAAGGTAAACCTAAGGCAAACGGTAAAACAACTAAGGAACACGGAGCCCCTCCCAAACGAAAAGGGTTCCTTCTTCAGCGCCCCGACTGTAGGTGTGTAGGCCCATCATCATTGATTCTTGGCATGTTGTCAGCGGCCCTCGTGGCTCAGAGGAGAGGTGGCAGGTACACCATCCCCGGTGCCAGCTCCGCAGGCTGGCCCTCTGCACCAAGACTCTGCACTGCATTGTGAAAACAGCGATTCCTGACAGCCCATCTCGTTGAGCCCAATGAGCATCGGATCGGAAGGTGGATCGAGTCGGAGCGTGCGTCGGATCGGGCCGCGTCAGCATGGAGCCGAAATCGAAGTGGATCGGCTGCGCCACGAGGCACAACAGCGCCGTGCAAGCATCGCTTCGCATCGGACCGTCGGAGTATCGGAATCGAGTTGATTCGGGCCGGCCGAGATCGATATCGATTCGGATCGATCGGATCGAAAACTGCATTGCCTGGGCTCGGTCAGGCCGCCAGGCCGCCCCTGGCCTTTGAGCCCACTC